CCCAGGGTGATCTTTTGTCACATTTTTTTAAATCGTTATTTCAGTCCATTATAGTCTGAATACAATAGTCATGACAGAGGTTGCAGGATATCAAAAATAATTCCGCCAGTATTACAATTTAGGTGCCAGTATTTAGCTTTGGTAGTAGAGGCTCTATATGCAAATCAGCTATCAGAATTGTAGCTTTCAGGTCAACCTATCAGAACCGTTGTTGCAGACTTTTTTCTTGTAAAGTACGCTCTAATTGGTTGACAATTCTTCCTCAGATTAAAGCTGCATGAATGTAATTTGTTACAGCTGATATATCAATGACAATCAGACGCAATAATTGAATCATTTTCAAGTGACATATTTTTTAACTTAAACAGTGGGGCATTATGTTTTTTCAAACTTTTTCAGTAACGCTTGAAAATTATACATGTAGTTTAGGATAAGCAATAATTTTGTACATTGTACACGTACTCTGTTCTTCCAATGCCTTGTAATTATTAATGAGTTTCTTATAAATACCTGTTTGTATTATACCATAGTAATTTTGTGTGCTGTGTACCCTGGTTTTGGAATACTGTAAAATACTTTATTTTCGCTTGGAATTAATTTTCGCTATTTTCGCTGAAGTAATGATTCAGTGAAAATAAAATGCAGCGAATATACCTTTTTTCCGTATGTTTTACATTTAACTTTTCAAAAATCAGTGAAAATAAATTCTATACAAAACACCCAAAATGTTTTTTCAGTGAAAATTTATTCCAGCTAAAATAAAGTATTCTACAGTATTCCATCGCGTGTTGAGAAAAGGCTGATTAGGATATTTTGATAAAAAATATGAAAAAAATTATATTTCTTGACATACAAGAACAACCTTTTTATATTTTTCATTATTATTTTTAATCAGTTTGATTGTCATGAAAAAAAAATTGTCTTCATTCGATTATATAAGGTATAATTTATGAAAAACTGAATATTTCAACTTTTTTTTGTTTTAAATTTTATTGTTGAGTTTTGTAAAAGTTATGATCAAAAAGATCATATGTCTTGCCTTTTCTTACTAACGAATACTGTTTCATGCCGAATGTAACATTTCATAAATATAAAAAAAAAATGATGAAACTGAATCGAAATTTGAATAGTTTGGACTACTAGTCGGATGTTGTGCAAAAAAAAAAAATAACAACATATTGTTGACTCTAATCACCTTCAGTTCTTCTTTCATTAACAAACAAACAAACTCTGAATCGGAAGAATTGTAAATTATTGTATAATAGTGTACTTTACTAAATTAGGGAAAATTTATATATATATATATAAATATATTTTTTTAATTATTTACATGAAACTTGATTTTTTAATGGCAGTCTGATTACAATAATATTGTAAGTACTTCCGGTTTCTTTAATATAAATGCATGGACACCTTAATTTATCCAAATTTGCATGGACCTCATTAAATTGGTAAAAGCGACTTTATTAAAAAAGAATTAGGATCATGTTTCTATTAATTCTGCTAATATAGTATTTCTGCTCGCTTTCAGTTTTCTGCCAATATTTCAGGAGTATGTAAACAGAATTTTTTTTTGTGCCAAAATTGTTCTCCCTGCGTAGCAGTTAGAGGAGCTTTATGATGAAGAAATGTTGTTAGGAGTTTTATTGTTTTTGGATTTTGAAAGGGAATTAGTTTATATCTTGCCATTATTTCAAGCAGTATTCAAATTTCTTTCAGAAAGAAATTCAATTTTTGTATTATCTGTCAAAAGTTTTGTCAGCCATTTTTATTTATGCAAATTAGCACCTGATTCAAATTTGAATGAATGGTTTGGATTTATTTTATGAAACTTAACTCCTATTCACGCTTGAATAAAAGGTCAACATCAGGGTTAAAGGTCACTCATTAGCATAATATATTATGGCTGACAAAATCGAAGCAGGTTTTTTTAGAACTATTTTCAGTGGATATAACTTTTATAAAAAAGATGTATCTTGAGTTCTAATAAAATGAGATCAAGTGTGTTACAAATAAAACTTGAATCATTGTTAAAATATGTTGTCTGATAGTCATTCTTCGAAGAAAACATCGTTTTTGCTTATGCAAAAAAAGTATTAGTTTGATGATAGAATGTATACAGAATTACCGGTATGTACAGTATGTACACTGTTCTATTTAAAGTGCAACTCCAATAGGAGCATACCCGTATATAAACCAAAAATTGCATGTGTAGAAACACACCTGTAATTAGCATGTGCGCTACTAATGGAGCAAATACGGTACTGTTAATTCCCTCACAGCTTCGTAGTTGGTTATTCTGTGCATGATAAAAATGTTAATAGGTGATAATAAATCATCAAATCCTTATATGACAACTTATTGAACAAATGTCCAGATCGCCTCTTTAAAAACGTTTCATTTGTTCATGTTATGTATGAATTACTCCATGGGAGAAGTAAAACATAGGAAGTGTGGAACTAACAATACAGTTTCATTTATTGTTTCATTTCTAATATAATCTGACTTAGCCAACATGCAGTTCATGTTTATTTTTACCCAGAATACAGTTCAATCATATATAAATCAATATTAATAATCTGCATGAAACCATAGACCCTCTGTTAGAGGGTCTATGATGAAACAATATACTGTAAAATGACTAATTTTCACTGGGTTTAAATTTCACTGATTTACCATTTCAGGTATATTCAGTGGGTTTTAAATTCACTGTTTTATAATTTAGATAATGTGTTCTATGCTAAATTTTACATATTCACTGGGTTTTAATTTAGCGCATTTTGCAGACAGCGAAATAAGCAAAATTAAAACCCAGTGAATAATTAATCCTTTTACAGTAGTTATCTTCAATGATCTCTGTATGTGAAAGAGTATCTTTAATATGTGCAGGTATAAGGAAAAATTCTATACTGACACCTAATAGTGAAAACATGGGGCTGGTACTCGGATAAAATCACAGTTTGGTGTTGATTACATGTTTATAGGTGTCTTACAATCACATCCGGATTTAGTTTATTTTAGGACTCATGTTGTTGTATATGCTGTTGTATAAGTATGGATACATGTTTATTTACTTGTTATTTTTTTTTTTAATTTGTTGTCAAAGTTGGTGATTATATCTAAATCTTTATAATGTGAAATTTGCAATTTGTTGATTAAATTTGAACTCTGGCGGCGCCCTTCACTAAAAAGTATTTCCGCTAATGGAGGTGTTTGTCCAGCGATCGAACTAAAACAAGCCCTTGTCCTTAAAAAAATTATAGTTTCAATTTAAATGATTATCACTAAGATATACACTAAAAACCTGAGCGGACCTTTTCAGATAGATATATTTATATAAATCGTGGAGCTAAAATTTGACCGATTCACAAGTAACATTCAGCGATTCTGTTCAGGAAATGCAGAACTACAAAAACGATAGAACAAATTCCGAAACTGAAACCTTCTCGAAAGTCATTTATTTTATTGTGTCAACCACAGTCCCTCTATAGAGGGACTGTGTGTCAACGCAACATTACAACGAATGCAATGGATGCTGTAGACGCCATTTGGTGATGATAAACTTATTTCAGTTGATGTGTATAGCGCCTTCTATAAGTGAGAGGTATTAATTCCTTTGTTTTACCATTCCCAACGAACGGTGCCTACATAAAGTAAAAACTAATTTCTGTTTTTACCGCATGGAGTAAAATTCTACATTCTCGTGGGAACTGGAGTACGTACACAGTTGTTGTCTGCTGGATTCGGCTTCCGCGATATCTGAATGTTGCCTTGTATTACTGAATATGGCGTTCTTTTGATTCATAATTCATTGTAATTTATGCCAATCATTCGACAGTCGATCTTTCATTATTCGCTTAAACATGCTTGATAGGGCATTTATTCTTTAGCATAGGGAAGTTATCTGTTAATGGTGTACAGCCACAGGGAACAACATCTAAGCTTTTATCTATACCAACTGAAAACGCAATAGAGGAAACTAGGAGTCGTTTGGAAGTCAGAAGGGCGGGTGTATATAGAAGGTTCACTGCAATATCCAATGAAATCAGAAGAATTATGTCGACAAACAATAC